TTTCCAGCAAGTCATCTAACATGGCAGCCATGTCAGAGTCAGGAAAAGGGTACGTTTTCTGTTCTAACTCTCTCAAAGTGCTCTTGTATCTGTCTTGGGTGCGAGAAGGCTCACTTGTCTTTATCTCCTTCGCTTTCTTCTTAGAGGAGATCTTGATGGGCGCTGAGGAGGTCTTGATGGGGGTAGTGTTGACGGTGAAAGCTTCCTTAGCGGGCTTCTTCCCGGTCTTGTCTACATTTGGGGCGAATACTTTATCCTTATTGAAGTTAGTAATCGGCTCCTTTTTCCCGTGATTAGCGATACTCAGCTCCATGTCGTGGGAACGAGTTGCTAGCTCTTCGAATGTTCTTGGTTTTATGCCTTGGAGGATGTAATGTAACCCCCAGTGCATGCCTTGAACGCACATCTCAATGGCAGAGGTTTCAGAAAGCCGATCTTTGCAATCCAGACTTAAGGAGCGCCATCTATTTATGTAGTCGACGACAGGTTCATCTCTCCATTGTTTCGTACTGGTCAGCTCTAGCATGCTTACAGTACGACGAGTGCTGTAGAAACGGTTGAGGAATTCCCTTTCTAGCTGGTCCCAACTGTTGATAGACTCGGGTTCGAGGTCGGTGTACCAGTCAAAAGCGTTACTTTTCAGCGAACGTACGAACTGTTTGACAAGGTAGTCTCCCTCTGTCCCAGCATTGTTGCAAGTTTCAATGAAATGGGCGATATGTTGCTTCGGGTTGCCTTTTCCATCGAACTGCATGAATTTTGGGGGCTGATAACCCCTTGGCATCTTCAAAGCATCAATCTTCTTGGAGTAAGGCTTTGAGTACAGTACGGAGTCATGCGAGCTTCCTTCGTACTGTGTCTTGACAGTGCTTGCGATCATCTCCTGTAGCTGCTGGATAGAGAGAGATTCCATGAACGCCGTTGCTTGGTCTAGCTTCAGTTTCTCTTCGACTTTCTCCACTGGAGGCTCCTCTTCTTCGTCGACTTCTTTCTTTAATAGGCCAACATTTGGGTCGACTTTCACGTCGGGCAGCGCATCTAGTTGGTTGACAAGTGCGGCAATCTGCAAGTCCTTCTCTTCCACAGTCTGTGTAAGCTTTGCAATTGATTCGCTCATTTGAGCCAGTTGTTCTTCAACAGAGGTGACGCCGATGGTCATGACTTGTGCAACCAATAGACATGACTTTCCTTCAGACATCCATAGTGCTGATGAAGAACCCCATTGGCCGTTTTCGGGTGTCATCTTGTGCGCCTCAATAGCATGTTTTGGTGCCGCCAGCATGGTTAGGTTGATGACCGACTCGCGCCTTTGGTGCTGCTCTTGCTTGCTTAGCAGTACCAACTTTGCAGCGGCATGTTGAGAAGTGGTTGTGGCACCAATGGATGCTCCATTTGCGGCGGAAGTGCTTATGCTTCTTCCCTTGGTGGTTGCAAGAACGGCTTGTCCCTTGCTTGATGCCATTGATTTTGGAGGTGTGCTTTGGTTGTTGTCAACTCCGTAACCATGCTCCTTCAACTTCTTTTGAGTTTTGGTGAGGTCACGATCTTTGTCGTTGACTGTGTTTGAAACCTTCTTTCCAAGATTTGAAGAGGAAGCAAAGTCATGCCTAGCCTTTGACATGAGTTCGTAGGCATTTGGGTTAAAGCCTTCTTCGGTCTTCTTAGTTGGAAGAGAGCTTGGTTTCACTTTGACGCCATGTTGCGCCTCCAGACGGTTGATGAGTCCGGCGGTTTGCAAGTTTTTCTCCTCTGCAGTCTTTAGCAGCCTTGCAATTGTTTCCTTCATCTGAACCAACTGTTTTTCAATGGAGGTAGTGCCGATAGTCATGACTTGTTCTTTGTTTGAAGCCATGGACTGTGCTTAAATATCTTGAACGGAGACAGAGATGAGAGGTAGAGATGGTCCTACTGGGCGTGCCAAATTTGGTGAACACGAAAGTTTCCTTGAAACAAGAAACCAGAATAACGTGTACAAAATAATATTTTTGTGTTTATGATTTTTGGGGTTACGATCTCTCTTAAATTTGGTCCTCTGATTCTATCTCCGTAAGATCTAGATTTGTTGATCCAAGGGCCGTCGAGGCTTGATCTTGGATGAACAGTTGTAAGTTTCTTCAAGGGCCTTCGGGGCTTGATCTTGAAGAACGATTGGATGTGCGGATATTCAAGGGCTTTTGGGCTTGATCTTGAAGAACGGTTGGTTTTCTTCAAGGGCCGTCGAGGCTTGATCTTGAATGAACAGTTGGTTTTCTTCAAGGGCTTTTGGGCTTGATCTTGAAGAATAGATGTGTGGATTTGTTTGTTGATCCAAGGACCGTCGGGGCTTGATCTTGGATGAACAGTTGTTGAACGGATCTTCAAGGGGCGTTGGGCTTGATCTTGAAGAATGGGTGTATGGGTTTGTTGAGGTTGTTGATCCAAAGGGCCGTTGGGGCTTGATCTTAGGATGAACGGATGATGAATGATGAACATTTTCTTCAAGGGGCCGTCGGGGCTTGATCTTGAGTTGGTGGGAGTTCTTCAAGGGCCGTTGGGGCTTGATCTTGAAGGAGGATTTGACGAAGAACGAAGAGTGCTTTCTTGATCCTTCGGAATTCTTGGGAATTTGGATGCTTGAGAGCTTTGGAGTTTCAAAGCTTCAAGGATTTGGGGAATTCTCTTCCAATTTGGGAGTAGAGAAATGTATTTGTGAATTCCTTGATGCTTGATACCTTGATGGAGAAGCCTATTTATAGGCTTTGAGAATGAATCACCACCACAAAATATTTTTTTTCTTTCCAAGCACCATTGCCTAATTTTCCCACTTAATGCAATATTGAAATTGAAGTGGTGTAACTTATGGCCTAATTTCCCACTTAATACCATTTTAAACTTGAAGTGGTCTAACTTATGGCCTAATTTCCCACTTAACACCATTTTAAACTTGAAATGTGTATGCTTTGTCATTGCCCAAATGAGAAAAACTTGCTTTGATCCGTAATGGATTGAAGTGTGCTTGCCTTGTCATTGCCCAACATGAGAAGAAAAACTTGTTTTGTCCTTCAAGGGTATTTCTTCCTATTTTGTTGAGTCACACGCCATGTGTACAATTTGTACAACACGTGGCGTATGCCATGTATGCCTTGACACGTCAAAACTTTAATGCATTGGTGAACATTTGTTTTACTGAAATTTCGATGTCTACACTTATCGACACCAAAAAAGCTGTGGACGAAATTCTTTCAGGATATTAAGGGAAGTTTAACAAAAATTTTAGTATTATTCACTTTAACGAAAAATCATATTGTTACATTAAAAAGTTAATTTTGGTACTATTTATTTTATCTTTTATTTTGTCTTTATCGTTAAAACTCAAAGTTTTCAAGCTTTTTTCATTAGTTTTCCTAAATTCCTTATTTCTTTTAGCTTTGGTTAAAAACAGTACAATATTATAGAGACTAATTTTCAACCGTAGCAACAGACGAAAGTCGCCTTATTGTGTTTTACAGAAAGTTGATCATGCGAGTGGCAGACGACTTTATTATGTTGCTACGGTTGGAATCACCAGCAAATCCTTCACCACATTAACGGTTCAACTCAATCGTTTTTGCATGCACTTAAATGGCTGTACTTAGCTAGTAGCCAAGTTTCCTTTTTCATACAGGATAATCACTATTTGGCTGATTTATTGCTTCCTCGTGGGATAAGCAAGCGGAATGGAAAAAGTTTTCATCTCAGATTATGATCCGACAGAACTCAATCAACACTGTGATTGCTTCATCTCAGATTATGTAAGCTCTTTTAATAATGCATGCAGTTGCTTGCACTACTATTCTTCGTGGCCCAAACGATGACACACCTGGAAAACAAAAAAAAGTCGATGTCAAGCCTACAAGACTGTCATATTTGCAAGGGTTGAGGCAAACACCTATATACGCAGTCTTATCCTTATCTTGCAAAGAAATTGTTTTTACAACTTGAACTTATAACTTTTTCGTCATAAATGAGCAACTTTTTCGATGTGCCTAAACTCCCCCTCATCACACTTGGAAACCATTCACATACATACATACATATATATATATATATATATAGGCCCTTTATACAAAGAGATTCCCATTTTTTGAAAAAAATGGGGATAAGGTGTGGGGTCCACTTCATATCGAATTTCAACGATCCGAACCGTCTATTTTGTAAGTCTCGATTCATAGATTATCCTTGCAAAAATTCAATTCAATCTCAAACCATTTGCCTATTTAATTATCAAGATCAAATTTCATTGTTTCTTATATAACAAAGTATTCATTCATTTCTTTAAACCCAATTAGATGTCTTAAATATTTCCGATTTGGCTAATATTTTGCAAGAATGATTTATAAGGTACAACTTGAAAAATAGACGGTTCGAATCGTTAAAGTTTGATGTGATATGGACCCAACAATTAATCCTCATTTTTATAAAAAAAAAAAAAATAGAAATATCTTCCCGTAAAAGCTTCCTAGATATGCATATGTATATATATTCTACTTTTTGAATGGTTTTCCCTTGAGAAACTCTGTCGCATGACATCCATATGAAATTGGAGAAAGCCGTGTTCCAACAAAACCTGCAGATTTTGCTAGGTTATCAAATTCAACTGCTGTTCGCTCCTTTCCACCACTCAACAGACAACACGGCCATCATCGTTATGTCTAAATACGAGTGTCTTCCTTGTTTCCGGTGTATTTTCTAGTACTTCAGGTACTACAAATTCCGCAACTATTACCTTCCCGGTTTCCGGTAACGCATTCCAACAGTTTTTCAATAACTTAACACACACGTCATTGTTCCAACGCCCGGAATAGTATTTTTGATAAAGAGTAATGCTAGGGAGATGAAGACCGCATTGTGCTACTTGTCTAATACATGTAGAGTCTATCTCCTTCAACATCATCGACTGAGCAGGTGCCGTATGGCGCCATGGTGTACGGTGATGACTAATTTTATGATCAAGATAGGAGGTGCAATTGCTCAACCACAAATGTACAAGACATTGTAAATCTTCTGTTAAATCTCAAGATCATGAGCATAATGTACAAGCAATGTCATGGTGGTGGGGAGAATTTGTCAAGCATCCCCATTTTACAACACAATCTATACTACTCTTCGATGATTCATTTTGACAGAAACCATTTCCCGCGATTCATAGTTAGGAGCTTGTACTTTCAATCGAAACTAATAGAATCGGCACAAGCGTGAGGATACCAGAAAGAAGGGTGAAGTACATTGCCTGGTGTCATCTGAAGTTACAGCATCGAGCTTGACCTCTAGCCAACTTGTCCCAAAGACAGATCATTTGCCTTGGAGATTGGTAATGTGCGGTAAAATAGTTATCCATGCACCCGTACTGACAAAACTTCCAGTTATGGGAGTATTGGACGACCGCTGTGGTACTGTTGAATTGCTCAACCCACATTCCCATGCTCACATCTTCCATCTTGAAGAGCTGCAACCAAATACACAGTATCTTTCAGCAACCACATATATTATAACTTTTCTTTCGGCCAATGCATATTAATTTGGAACCGGAACTGAAGGAAAAAGAAAGAAACCATCCTCCGAAGAGAGGTAATAAGTCGGACAATTATTAACTTACCCTTAGGCTACGACTAACGTGCTGAGAAATGATGAATTTAGCAATGTCAATGGAAATTACATATCCAGGGCCATTGGCATATGGAGGATAAACTTCTTCTGGCCACTCCTGTCACAGTAGACAATAATGCTTCAGAGGGAGAGAGAGAGAGAAGAGTAGAAGAAAAAACCACAAACGTAAAGGGATAACATGCATCCTCTTTGAAAACTTTTAATCCTCTCTGGAAAAATAAAAACAAATTAAAATTAGAAAACAGCAACAACAGTAGGGAAATTAGGAGCTGTATGCAGTGAAATTATTTCTTGTCCACCATATGATTCTAGCGGTACCATGGAGCTCCAATTGACATGGGTCCAACCACTATACCCAATTTTCAGAATATACGATTAAGAAAAGTAGCTCCTAATAAACAGACGGATCATTCATGACATTCCAAAAACCCACAAGACAGCTTATCAAAAGCAACTCTTAACAAAAGCAGATAACGGACGACTTGAAAACTAAGTAGAGATGCACGCAAACTTGCATACCTCATAGGTTACAGCCCATTTTCCACTTCTGAGAGGGCGATGCAAGAGGTTAAGATTGCCCATATAAAGGGATTTTTTAGAAGGGATGCCCTCAATTTCCTTTAAGACGGTGTCCACTCTAATAAATGTGTCATCGTCACATTTCATGATGTACGCAGCTGTCACGTTCTGAGCCTGCATCAAGATGTTAAAGCTTTTAAATACAAGAAATACAAACTCGACAAAGACCCAGTTGAATGGTTTACCAAACTACAGATACACACGAACCTTTGATTTATAATAATATTCATATGTAATATATTAACTCAATGGAGAAATACTGGAGAATAAACTGAACTCACCCCAAACTCACAAATAGAAATGGTTTTCAGAACAACAAGCTCGTAGTGATCCATAAAGGGCAAAATAACAACATCACCAAAGTAAGCAGCCTCTTTCTTCAGCATTTGATTTACCTCCTTCCTTGGATTCTGCAAAACTTAATAATTAATATAACCAAATATTGAAGGAAGAGATCCATATAAAACAGAAACAGTTTCAAAGTTCAAACTAAGATTAAACTCATCAATCTACAAGTAACTGAGTTGCATAATTCAAATTCTTTTCTTTTCATTGCTAGGCAAATTTCAAAGGTTACAACCCTAAGGCTAAAAATCCAGTCAATTCCCACTGAAGGGTGGGTCACACTATCACTGTACTGCCCCTGAAGGAACTTTTTTCTAAAATAAATATTCAAAAATGATCCGGTTACTTTTCTTTCAGTCATTCCAAGCCAGTGTCCATTTAGAGCGAGTACTTTTCTTTCATCCAATCAATTTTACTAGGTACATGCCATATCAGGTAATTGAGCCCATACAATTCAAACACATATCTACATCAGCATCTACGCAATAAAATATAAACATCAATCTGGCCTGTCTGACATTATGGAAGGGAAACAGAATCAATCCAGAATTACTTTCTCTTTTCAGTCAAAGACTCTTTTAACACAAACAAAATCCAAGCTAGGAAGGGGCAGATAAATTAGTACAAGCATAAACAGGGATTTACAATTGGAGCTAGAACTTCAAAATAAAAAACATACAGAAAACTTGAAAGACTGAATCACACACTTTTGACCAATTAGAGCCACACTTATATCTTCTAACCAATTAGAGCCACACTTATATCTTCTCATGCAAGATTAGATATAACTACTCAAGGACGTTATACTTTAAAAAAAAAAAAAAAAAAGACTAATGTAATATTTGTTCTCCAGCCTTATAAACGGAGAGGACTTCTTCTGTTCTGGCAATAGAAAGGACATAATCATGGAAAATATCTGCACACCAGATCCTTGGATCTGACTGCTCAACTCTTGATAAATCAATTATTGAATGACTAAAAGCAATAAACTTACCAATGCAACAAAGAAACGGACTACCACGTTGGAGGACTTAATTGATGATGATTGCATCCAAGTTTTTCTCACTGCCATGCGCTCTGCAAAGTGATTTGTAGCAGAAAGAACCCCAATAAACAGTCGAATAGGACTCTTGGGTAAAGGATGTGCTTTCCACTTCTCTGCCATCTCCAGTACTCTTTGAGGTGAGAAACTTGGATGAGAAGTGGGAAGAGAAGTAGCATAAACAGAATGAGCATCAACATCTCCTTTAATTGCTAATCCAGTTGCATCTTGAAGTGTAAAACCCTAAAATTAAAGAATAAAACTAATTATAAAAAGTGCATTGCTATTGATAAGGAAGGAATTGGAAAACAATACAAGGAATAAAACTGAAATGACACAACCAGATGCTTAGGAACAGATATGATCAGTAATCATAATTATGGCCTTAGCATATTCGTCCAATGTCAGAGGCAAACATATGCAATATAAGTAAATTACCCATTTATGCAACATACCATTCGATATGGAAATGAAGTCAAATGCCTGCCCCCGACACTAACATGGAATCCATCCACACCAGCACGTATGGTCAGGATAAACAATCTACCCTCTGTAAAGGGAAATGGCCAGGTTACTTCTGGCTTCTGCTCGCGCCCTATGAATCGTTTGAACCATGAGGTAGTCTTGGTCTTGGACTCCTTTGAGTCTGCCATATCATTCCGCATCCACTTTTCACATCTCCCAAATCCATCAACTGCCACATATGTGCATTAACGTTATATTACAACCCAAAAGGTATACCCAAAGGTTTATATCAACAGCAAGACAATAGAAAGAAGGTGGAAATTGGAGTCTAATAGCCTGGGAAGCATAAGAAAGTTCTGTATCCTTTCCTTCGAAATAACAACATGACTACATGATGGTCAGGACTGCTCAGGAAGAGCCAGCAAGTATAAGGAACCCACATAGTAAACAGCTAAGTTTACATATAATCCACATAACAAACAGCTACAGAATAGATAGAAGGGGAAATGAATTTTTACGATCTGAAAATGCAAACAAAATATCTACATCCCTAATCCTCATAATATACTTCCTATTTTGCACTATAAACAAACTTGTCCTTTTTAAGGGACTTATCCTTATAAAAAGCATTAATATTATTCATACAGAGGTATACACATGTTTTTTCTTTCATTTTGTACTTTCAGTAATCTTCATACAATTTTACAGATATCATGGCTGTAGAAATACCAGGGAAGGACTTTATCTTCTAAATCAATGAATTTTTTTACCTAGCATGTCTTCATTGCTCTTAAATGGTAAGCCGTCACACCTTTGAGCTGTTCCCCATTGCATCCTGTAACAGGTGTTGTGCTCAATGACTGGCCGCTGACTCCAATCACCTTTTAATCGTGGATTCAAGTGCAAAATCTTTGGCGGGTCCTCCCCATCTACGGATTTCAACCCTTGCAACTCAACCATGAACTGTGAGACCATAACTGTTCCATCACCTCTCCTCAACTTTGCAAGTTGGGGCACATACTCCTTATGAGCATAATGGGGTGTTCCCACCACCGTAATAGAAGAACCTGCAGCAAGTCCACAAGGAAGAAACATCAACTTATCTCCTGTTGCCAAGTCTTCCCCACTCATTGATAACCATGAAGGACATGACTCAGGTTTTCCCTCAATTATAGAACTCTCTCCAATCTCCTTCCCATCAAGTTGACGCACTTCTTCCCAAGCATTTAAACCCAATGTCCAAGCCTCATCTGCCATCCTCTCAAGCACCGAAAGTTCATTTGTTCTATTCCTTCGCCTCATAATCTCACCAGTAATCCGACCATATTGATGCTGTAGTGGCTTTATAGGCTTAGATCCACCTTTACTCTCTTCCAAAGGTTCCTTACTAGGCCTCACAGGCGCATCTTGGTTTTGGTCTTCCAGTTTGCGATGAAATGTATCCTTATAAGCAGAACTAAATAATGGTTTACTCAAATCCACATCTTCGACCAGTTTCAACCCAACATAACCATCATCACCGCTCAACGTGTTTGCTATCTCCAGAAACTGGGGAAACTTAAAGGATATGAAGACCAAGTACAATGCCGCTATACCAAACAACAAATGCTGCAATTTGAACCTCCTCGCAACCGAAGGTTCAACTTTCAGCCTCTTCATCTTTACGAAACCAATACACAGACTACAATATACTCTACAACAACAACCACCAAACAGTTCCTCCAATACCCATTTCTTCAATCACCAAAAGAAACCCAATTCAAGCTCCAACCCAAAAAAAACACCCAAACCAAACCTTCCCAAATCGCAAGAAAAAACCCACACTCAAAATATACAATCCAAATCAACAGTGGCAAGAATACAAAGCAACATACAGTAATGGGTTCAGAAAGATCGAGTTCAAGAATCCAATCAACGTCACAATTCAGCAACACAATGCAGAAAAAAGTAGAAAACCCATCAAAATTTCAACGCATAAAGGCTTCAAAACTCAACGTCTCACCGGCGTTCTGCAGAGAGTTCGATCCCGACCCAGATGAACAGAGCCCGCAGTGGAAATGCAGATGGGATTGGATTGGGAGATGGAGTTGGGCGGGAACCCTAATGCAGATTGCAAGATTGCAGAGCGGAGGAGCATAGGGAGGGAGGAAGTAGGGAGGTAAAGTTGTATAAAGACGGAAAATTTATTGGCAAAAGTTCAGAAGATATTTGACTGAAACGTGAAACCACAGAGAGAATAAGTGATGGGTGATTTCATTCCCCATTTCTTTTGGGTTTTTATTTTCTCTTATCCCCCATTTCGTACAGGACGAAGGGTCAGGTGCCTTTTTTTGCTCCTTCTGCACTTTAAATCCTTTTTTTTTTAGTTTAACAAATTCATCAAGTTGGACTCAAAGAAATAGTGGTTGCTCACCACCCACCACCCACGTCTAATGATACGAAAAAGAATTTTGAGTCAATTTCAGTTTATTATTCTTAAATTTTGTAATTTTTAATATTTAATATATGAAGTCTTTTTTGTCCAGAGTTATGCTTAAATTGTTAATTTTGAAACAATCTCATACATCTGTTAATCTGATTGTTAAGTCTTTCATTAGTTGATGATGTAATTGGACTTTAGGTGGATATTAAGAAATTAAAAAAATTCTAAAACAATAAATAAATAAAATAAGGGCATATTTATCCCTCACCTCACCCACCCTAACCTTCCCCTTCCCTAAGGTACCGTTTGGTATGTGGGACAGGACGGAACAGAGTGAGACAAGGCGTTCCGTCCCACGTTTGTTGCGCCTAAAACGGGTGGAACGAGCTGTTCCACGGGACGAGTTTTGGGTGAATTTTCGTTCCACCTCACCCCCTGGAACGACTCGTTCCACATCTGTGGAACACAAAACTATAATCTCTTTGTCTCCTTTTTCTTCCTCTTTGTTTCCATCCGAGGGCATCTTTGATCCCGCTCCGTTCCGTTTCGTCCTGTCCCGTCCCATCCCGTCCCGTCTGCATACCAAACGATACCTAATACCCACCTCGCCATCAAGCTTATTCCCCATCCCCTCAACCCAACCCCTTCCCCAAAATTCCTCCCTCCCGCCCACCCAACCCCCTCTCCCGCCCACTTAACCCTCCCTCCCTTCTCTCTCTATGGCCGCCGCTCAGAATGCGAACCCGGATCGGGAAGCCCGATCTGCTGCAAGCTCTTGTTTGAGCCACCACTTGCGCCGTAGGTCTCTCCGGAGCAGATGACCGTGTTTCTTGGTCTGGATGAGACCTTGGTGCTCGCACAGGCCAACCCGCAACCGGAGAAATTCGATTTCATAGTGCGGTCGAGGATCGACGGAACCGAGATGAATTTTTATGTTCGTAAGCGTCCCTAAGTGGACGAGTTGTTGGGGAAGTTAGGGATGAAGGGTGGGCGTAGAGGAGAGAAGAAAGGGAGGGAATTTTGGGGTTTTAGGGATGGGGAATAAGCTTGGTGGCGGAGTGGGTATCAGGGAAGAGGAAGGTGGGGTGGGTGAGGGGCGGGATAGATAGGCCTAGATTTTATTTTTAATTTCTTAATATCCACGTGGCGTCCAGTTCACGTAGGTGTCACATTACTAGTTAACATCTGATTTAACAGCAACCTTTACGGATGTATGAAAAAAATTATGATTTTAGATACTACTTTGCGATAAAAAAAATTCATGTACCAAATGCTGAAAAACAAATAAACTTTAAGGTAACAAACTGAGATTAGCCTCACAATATATTAGTAATAATGTGGTTCAAATTTGTTTTTGACGATAATTGAACCTAAAATTTCTCACTTATAAGTGAAGATGAATATCACTAGACCATAATAGTAAATGACTGAAGAATAATTTTTTAGATACCAAGGCTTTCATCACATCATTTGTAAAACATTTAAGTATTTGATTTTCGAAATTTTCATTACTACTCTCTCTACCGTCTCAGTTAAGACGAGAGTTGTTTTATTAGTTAATTTTATTTAAGATCAAACAATAGGTTGAAAGTTTGTCCATTTGTTATAATGAAAGGCGAGGATGAAACTTTTAATTTGTTAAGACGAAAGTTGTTTAATTAGTTAATTTTATTCAAGATCACATAATAAGTTTGTCATTTGTTAAAATAAAAGGCGAGCATGAAACTATTAATTTGTTACAACTATTTACAAATGTTTTTATTGATCGTATTTGTGATTTTTTTTAATTTGTCAATTATTTCAAACAAAGTTTAACCGTCTAGACTCAGTTTATATAACATCATATGATTAGAGCATTACATTTTTAAAATGTGCAATAAAGATTAACACTATTACATTTACAAAACTTTTGTTCCAAATTTAATCATCAAATAATGTTCCAGCATTTATGTTTTATTTTCCTACTTGTTTGGAAAGTAACGTTTAAAGTTAATTTAGTTACGTTCTCATTTTTGAAGTTAAAGTAGTTAAATAAACAAATGCAAAGCCCCTTGTCCAATTTTTCAAAAAGAAAACTAATGAAAATGGTTTAAAATTTTCGAATTTTAACGATAAAGATAAAATAAAAAGTAAAATAAATGGTATCAGATTTGATTTTTTTAATGTAAAAATGTGATTTTTCAGCGCCGTCGGACTTTTGTTAAAACACCTATATTCCAAAACCCTCAGTCCCCCCTCCCTCCTCACTTCCCACTCTCGAGCCGGGTGACCCCAGAACCGAAAGCTCCGAACTTTAATCCCCAGCAGCAATTCAAACCTCCATATCCACCGAAAAGCAGGCCTACCCAGCGGCTGAACCAGCTCAGGAACTCCCTTTCCAACTCCAGTCCTCAAAATTTGGAAAATATAAAGGTTCATTTCATACCTTCAACCTTCAGTTTTACTGTTTTTCCAACTTTACGTTTTCTTTTGGTTGCAAATTGATTTTTACAGTGCAAGATTAGAACTTTTCAGTTTCTTTGCAATCACTTAGAACTTTTCAGTTTCTTTGCAATCACAACAGTTAGTAGTAAAATCTGCTCAATACCCAAATCGGGTTTTTTGTTTTTAACAAATAATGTTTGGTTTGGTTCCTTTTTTTTTTCTTCAGACTTTGGTGATATTTATGCTGAGTTAAAAGTGAAATGGCATCCCTACCAGGAACTTGGCTGTATCAAGGTGTGCCCATTTGAGCTTATCTAATAACAAAGATAATTTCGAGTACAAGTTTTCGTTCTTTCAGTCTTTGGTGTGCTTGTGGCAGATAGAGGATTGATAGGTACAGTCTCAGCACAGAGCCATGCTTCTGGGAACCCATGTTTCAATCATTTCAAGGTTTATCATCTCTCCAATTACACATATGTATGTATTTATGCCTATCCAGTTGTTTTGGAATTTTCTTCTGTTTATTTTATTTTATTAGTTGTATTCCTTGAATTTGAGGCTTTCGTTATTCAAGTCTCTAGTTCTGTGTGAAGTGATTTCTGTAGTAATTAAACATGGGTGATTTTTTTGGTTGAATTTTTGTTTGGTTATGGTAACAATGCCGGGACTAAACTGGCCATCTGCCAAAGTTGAGACTTGAGACGAGAACTTTTAGTTGGGGAATTTTGTAAAATTGTTTTGCAACTGGAACTTATAAGCATAGTTGTTTTGTTGCATGGGGAAAGTGTTGAGTTTGGGCTGATGTTGTTTGAACCTAAGCATTAAAGCATGTCTATAGGTTGTAGTTTTCTGGAATCAATTGCATCCTTGCATGTCTATATGTCATGGACAGCTTTTTGGTGCTTCTTTTTTTCGTGTTACTATATTTGTTGACCTGGTTTTAAATTCCCGGCTCTGGTAATATAAATGACACTTCATTGCCACTAAACTTTTCCTTCTTAGTTTCATTGTTTTTTAGCCATTTATCGTTGTGCTAACTTAATCATATATAATTTTATGTGAATCGTACAGGCATCAACTGTAATAACCGTTTCAGAATCTGGTCGTCTCCTTTGCCATCTGGACCAATTTTCTTTCTCTGGTTTTCTCCAGTTCCACCATAGTTCATACTTGTGAGTGGCTCACCTAATGGCTTCTTTGTTTCCGGATCAATAAAGGGATGGGGACGTCCGAGTTTCTTGTCTGGTCAAATCCTGTTTCTTCTTCTTTTTCAGCTTCAGTCTGATAGACAACATATTCGGATGGGGAATCTTTAGGATCCTCTAGTGTGTCCTCTGAAGTTTCTGGTTCCAGCAGTTCCACTGCCACTGTATCACTTGACTCTACACTTGGTTCAATAGATTCACCGGCAGCAACTGATGTTTTATTCTTCCTCCTCCTACTTCCAGGATTTTTACCATAAGATGGTGATCCAACTGATTTACCAGTGGGCTCAGGAGCCCTGGCAGCTCTAACTCGACTAGCTGTGCCTTCAGGCCAATAATCCTGCCCTGGAATGCTGGCACGAGCACCAGATGCAGGTTCAAGCTGCCCAGATGTTGAGTCCATATAACTATCGTAGGGTGGACGCTCAATAGAGACCTCTTTGGAGGACTCATCATCCTTCTCACACTTTATACAAGGAAGTAAAGGTGCCCTCTGTGGTAATAGATTCGAGCCAACTCTAACTTGGAATAATCCAACTGGAAATGATCTGTAAACAAATTTTTTGATGTCTAGGTGTTTTGAACCGTGCATATCATTTTGGTGATATCAACATTTGGATCTTGTTTACATGGTTGTCATAAAAAGCAATGCTGCTTGTATTATATATACAGATGAGATCACTGTACGCTCATTCCTTGTTAGAGCAATGGCAGAGACTGGGCAGGTAAAGCTTTATGGTGAAAATCCAACATTGACTGAAACTTCACTTTACAGAGCAAGACGACATCTTTTCAAGGAAGAAAGGTACAATTGATGAGTAACGTAGTAATCTTTGGTTTAGGGTGAAAATCCAACGTTGCCTTGTGACCTCTGACTATTCATTAAAAAGTTTTATGGAGTTTTTTTTTTCCTTATATGGATTTTCAAGTAACTGCTGATTTTGTAGGCTTCAAGCGGAACAAGAGAGACTGGATAGAACAGGTCCACCTGCATACTATTCAGAATGGGTTAAGGCTTGGAAAAGAGACACTTCTTGAGAAGCTGTTCAGAAACATTTTGAAGAGACTGGTGAAAATGAAACCACCCAACTAATAGAAATGTTTTCTCATCAAACTGATCGAGAGTATCGTATAATGATGGGGACTGATATCCGAATACGTAGGGATCCCTTAGCGATGCGTATGCGAGAGGATCAAATAAAGTAAAGTACTCACTCAAAAGCTGATAATCTTGTGCGTTATTTTCATGGATTACGTTCTTTATATCATTATTATTAATCATTCAATCCCTGAAAGAG